ATTATTCAAGTCAACGGCTCCAAAGGTAGCTTATTTCTTGCGTCCTACTTTTGCAAGTTACATCAACACTAACCATCTTAATAGTTGGTGAATCGAAACGAGCGGAGACTGCGGTAGAAATTTCAAACCTGGTCCCAGGAAGTATATATCACATTTGCGTCTTTTCCGTCAGTGCGGCAAATTTTCAGACACCCAGCGCGGTTATTCATGTTCGGACGAAGCCTCTTCCGTTGTCGCAATCTCAGCAGAATGCCCCGGTTGGTAGCCCGACGATTCGCGCCTCAATCCCACGACCCACTGCCGGGTTGGTTGCTCCTTCCGCCCCTCTGATGGCTCGCGAGCTTAGTGGAGGACAACTGCAAGGAAAACGTTCTTCTGCTGGACGGAAACAATCTCCCGCGGCTAGCGGCGTGGACCTCCCACACGGCCATCCAGAGGAGACTCAGAAACACGCAGCGCATAATGACAGCAGTGAGACCCTGGAACGGTTGGCCGACAGGCTGAAAACTCTGCAGCATGAGAATGAAAATGTAGAGAAGCAGGCGGCGGAGGAAGAGGAGGAGCACATCGCGCTTTTGAAAGAACTTGAGAGACAGCGTGACCAGCTGAGAAAGCGTGTGAAGGAGAAGGACGAGGCCAGTGGCGATTTGAAGAAGCACGTTAACAAGCTAGAGAGCGTCAATCGGACCGTCCAAAATGAAAAGGCCAAGCGCGAGAGGCTCCTGCAGCAGAAAGAGACTGAACGGAAGAAGCGCAAGGAGGACATTATCCGTTGGCGTGAGGAAATGGAGCGGATGACTGCTGAGGTTGCGCAGATCAACGACGAGAAGGCTCGTATGGAAGAGGAAGGGAAGACGAGTGCAGACGAGGTTCGAGAGAAGATTGCCAAGGAGCAGGCAGAGATGAAAGTTCTCGATGATGAGATTCAGGACAAAGGTGGGCGTGTCAAGAAGCTTGAGGAGGACCGAAAGCGTCAGCAGGGTGGAGACAGCGAGGATGGGAAGGAGTTGGACCGCATCGACAACGAGCGAGCAAGGCAGTGGGAGGTCAAGTTGAGCAACCTCAATGCGCGATATGCTGCTTTAGTGAATCTTCACGCACAGGTGGGTACCTCAGACAACGTACTATGGTATCTAGATCGAGGGTTACTAACTTAAGAGAAGGCTCAGCAACAGTACCAAGAGGCCCAGGAGCGCCTCAAGTGGTTGACTACCCAGCGTTCAGGCAGTAGTGGACCGTTCACTCTGCCAGCTCTCGATCTGGACATGTCAAATACTGCGACTATCCGTCCGCGCCGCCATCGCAGCTCTCTCAACAGCAACGTCTCCTCCCCGATGAATTTCCCCGGCTTGGAACCATCTTTCCCTGGCGGTGTCAACTTCAATCCACCTTCCACCAACTCGCCTACATTTGCTCCCACTCCTGCCTTCTTCAATATCAACAACGGCATGACTCTTCCGGGCCTCTCGGATCAACAAGATCCGATGCGGGGGGAGCTCGATCTTTCCTTTGGTAATCCTCAAATGAGTCCACGGGCCGATGCCCTGCTCCCATCTGATCTTTTAGGTGATGAGGAATCTCCAGAACCCCCACGTCCTATAGTTCGACCTCGCTTCTCAAACCTGGAATTGTCTGAGACGCAGCGGGAAAGCTATTCGCGCGGCCCATCGTCTCCTGAGTCTGCAGTGGGAAGCAAGCCAGCTAGCATTTTCGCCAGCCCCCATGAGGACCGCAAAGAGACCGAGCCCCAGTCTGCACATGTTGATGAATCTAATGATGCTCCTAAAAGTGCGACGAGAAGGCTATCGGGATTATTTGGCTTCCATCGTCCTCGTGGTAAAACACTGGCAGATGAGCCGCCTTTGCTGGGCACCCTGAAAGCCGGACAGAGCCAATCTTTCCCTAGGAATCTGGATGAAATGGATCCCATCGGTTCAAGGCGTCGGAGGTTGAGTCATACAGGCAACTGGGCCAACCCGATATCATTACTTCCCAGGAGCAATACTGCCGTTGTCACCGCAGACAGCTCTTCTGACCACCTGCCGTCGCGACGAGCAGGATTCTCCAGTATCTTCTCCCCCAGCCGATTCGGTTTCGGCGGAGGAAGTAGCAGTCTGCTGAAGTCAAGCGAGCCCTCTGATCTCAGCACAGGCTATAATCAGTTCAGTCCTCGTCACGATCCAATCGATCCAGCATCGATTCTAGGTACTGTCCGTCGAGGTTCACTGTCCCCGAGACCTTCGTCGACGTTTTCCTTCGATAATCAGCTTCCTCATCCCTCGACGGATAATCGTCCTTTCGGATGGCCGTCTGCTGAAAAGCCTGGCCATCGCAGTCTTCTTGGATTCGATTGGGCCTCCCCGTCCAGCTGGTCCAGGGCGCAATCCCGTCGGCCGTCTATTACGTACGGCTCCTCTGGTCACTTGCCCCTTGGGCTGACTGGTGAGCCTGATTTTCCTCAGGAGTCTTTTGAGCGCCAAGGTCGGCCGTTGCAAGCCCCGATTGGTACACGGCCGTCGTCCTCGCATCGCCCAGTGACTCCAAAATTGAATCCCGCAGCACCCACGTTCAAGACCATCTTCAGCAGAAAGTCCGACAAGGATAAGGATAAAGAGAAAGGAAAGGAGAAAGAATCCGAAATGCCTTTTGATTTTCACATGGAGGAGGGCTCTCCGTCAGAGCCGCGCATCTCCAGGGATTCTCGGGCCCGGTCCTTGTCCATCTTCACTGGTGATTCATACGAATCGCTGGAGCGCATGCCATCGGCCACTTCTGCGGACAACAGCAACTCGAAGGAATCGTTTATCCGAAAGATCACTCGAAAGGGCAGCTCGAGTAAATTCGGTTCGTGGAAGGAACGCTCCGGCTTGTTTTCGAAGAAGGGCGATTCGTCCCAGGGTGACATCGATGAGGATGCGAGCAGCGAGGCGCAACTTGCCAAAAGTATTGACAGCACTGTCTCCAGCGCTCCATCTGCGGACAGATCGACCAGAAGCAGTCTGGGGTTTTTCAGCCGGAAGTCCAAAAAATCCGACAAAGCTGCCAGTGAGACAAGTGAAAGGCCTAGTGAATTGGCCAGCGAGACTGGCGATGATGAAATCGCCGAGGAAGACGAACCTTGAGCCGGGCTCAGTTTTTTGTCATCCTCGATTTTTGATGTTGGTGCTGCACCTATGCATTTCTATGCATTCTTTGATTGTTTTCTTTGTATGTGCTTGGCGAGGACCCGCGAGTCTTTCTGCTCCTTTTTCCAAGGTTTTCTTACTATCACTATGTCTAAAGTCATTCATTGGTATATAGCACTTTCATATACGAGATTCGTATAGTTGGTGGGTGAACGATACCATTTCACCGCATATCTCATCAGAATGGTCAAATTAGTCAAAGTAATACTTAGAATGTTCTCAGTGATTGTAGTATGGGGTTTTGAATGCCTTAGATTGATCTGGCAGCAATCATGGCTCATTTCTCGTAGCCCGCACGGCTTCCCGCACAACAGAGAGAATTCATTTGACTGTCCCGCGAAACTGAACAAGACTACGGTAGCCTCGCAACGAAGAATACGCAAGACATATTATTGATATGGCGAACTCAAAGTATTTAGCTTCGATTCTCGTCGAGCATAGAGCAATAGCTGACATGCGTAACCAGGTACGAGTACGTCAAATCATTTGAGCAGCCCGACGTCTTGCTGCCGAATACCTGGATCGTGGTTCGCATCGACGGAAGAGGATTTCACAGGTATTTGCCTCCCAGTCTACTTCATTCCCCCAAATGTGCCTGAATAACAGATGACATAGACTTTCCGATCACTATGGATTCATCAAACCCAACGACCGCCGCGCGCTGGACTTGATGAACGCCGCCGCCGTGGAGGTTATGAAAGAACTCCCAGACCTGTGCATCGCCTATGGCGTGAGCGATGAATATAGGTCTGTCTCTCCCCGGCTAGGTCTACATTATTCATGCCTCTGACCATGCGTAGCTTCGTTTTTCACCCCAGCTGTCAGCTATTCGAGCGACGCAGCGCGTGAGTCAGCCACAGCTAGGGGAGGCATTTTTGTCCTCGACTTGACCCTCTGAGACTGCAAACACTAATCTTGGGGGTTAGTAAACTCGTCACGACGATTGTATCCACATTTACAGCACATTATATCCATCAATGGGGGACGCATTTCCCGTCTACGCCTCTGCAGCCTCCGTACCTGCCCTCGTTCGACGGCCGGGCGGTCCTGTACCCGTCCACTAGGATCTTACGCGATTATATGAGTTGGAGACAGGTGGATTGTGCGTTTTGTCTTGTTGATTTGTACTCCGTTGTCATGCACTGATGGAACCAGGCCACATCAATAATCTTTACAACACGACGTTTTGGACGATGGTTCAGCAGGGAGGGATGAGTAACACGGATGCTGAGAGAGAGTTACAGGTGTGTGCGCTTCTGAATTATGATGTACTTCGCATGAGCTGACGAGCCTGTCAGGGGACTGTCTCAGCCGACAAGAATGAGATCCTCTTTAAGAGGTTCGGGATCAATTATAACAACGAGGATGAGATGTTCAAAAAAGGAAGTGTGCTTTATCGTCAGGTAGGCGAGCAGGAATGCCTTATTATGATTGCCGTCTAACGTGGATTTCTGCAGTATCAATTGGAAGATCCCAAGCCAGTGTCCAAATCAAGGCACGGTGATGATGATGAGGCGCCGGTGGACGAAAGCAAAACTTCAAAGTCGCAGCAAGACAAACTGCGTAAATTACGACGGAAAGCACAGGTGGTCATCGACCATGTCGACATTATCAAGGACGAGTTCTGGGAGAGGCGGCCTTGGATACTCTCGGGCAAGCCAGGTAAATTGCCCGAGGCTTGATCTTACGTGGTACAAGACGATAAGTATGAAAATGACATGGTATATGAACTTTTATTAAGTCGGCGTAGCAGTGCCAAATGGGTATCTGATCTGATGAACGAAAATCTATCTGTACATGAAGAGTGGGCCAATATCACTCATTTGTCGACTTTGTTGACTTTTTTGAATTCTTTTTCGTGCTTTCCTCGGACGACGCGCCTTTCTTCCGGGCCTTTTTGTCCTGTTTCAAGTCCTCCTTCTCCTTCCTCTTCTTCGGCTTTGCCGTTGTGTCTGGGTATTCGTCCCGTCCACTGCTGGACTCCGTCTGCTCTGGTTCCGTAGACGAAGGAGTAGGGTATTCGTCTTCTGGATTTTCCGTCTTCTTCTTTGCCTTTTTCTTCTTCTCCTTGCGAGCGACCTTCTCGTCCTCCCCGGCACTGCTCTCCCCCTGCTTCCTCAGCTCCTTCTCTTGTTTCCTCCTCTTCTTCTTCTCCTCCTTTCTCTGTCGCCGCTCCTCTTTACTCTCGGCTCGACCCTCAGGAGTCGTCTCATCGACACTGGACGAAACCTCCTTCATCTTCCGCTTCTTCCGCTTCTCCTCCTTCCGCCGCGCCTTTGCCTCTTCAGCATCCTCAACCTCACTCTCCTCCTTCCTTTTCCTCTTTTTCTTAATGTCTTCCACAACCACCACCTTCTTCTTCCCGTCAATCGTACCAGGAACGACCTCCCCCCTCACGAAGAACCGATACAATTCACTCGTCAAGGCATTCGGCTTCGGTACTGCCCCAGCACCGCCGACACTCTCCTGCCCCACACCCTTCAGCGCATCCTCAAACCCACGTAGCCACCACTGATTCGTGGGGTCCTTGGTCGTCTTCTTGCCCACACCCTGGTTTCCAGAGCGCCGCGCGACGAGAATGGGTCTCGTGAGACCAAGGCCACCTCCCTGGGGGCGGTCGGGATTGAGTGGGTTGCCTGGTCCGGACCAGCCGTGACGGATGAGGTAGGCTTGGGCGTCCATTTCCGTTGGACCTTTTTTTGGTAATATGGGTCGGGGGAGAGGTGTGATGGAGTTAGTGAGGCGGCTGGAGGGCGGTTAGTTTAGATGGACGGCTCTGGCGGTCATCGAGGTTTGCCTTCTGCGTAACGGCGCTTAGGAAACAGGCAGGAAATAACCTGAAAGGACGGATGGGGAGGGGAATAGCCGCCTTATGAGGATGAGGAGTGAGGAAGAAGGCTATAATAAATTAGGTGAAGAAACGGTCGGGATAGACTACCGACTACACCGTCGCAGAGAATACAAAGGGTAAAAAAAAAAGTTTGGATGCGGAGATGGGACAATGACTGAAGTTTTCCTATCTAGTGATTTAGCTGGTTCTGTACATAAAATATTCGTTTGTTTAGTATCCCAACCAACAGTCGCGTGGTCTAATGGTTATGATTTCTCGTTCACAGTCAATTGTGAGCATCTTCTGGATTCCGAGAAGGTTCCCGGTTCGATCCCGGGCGCGACTACTTTTTTTATTGTTTTGCTGCTCAACGCTTCCGTCGCTTTTCTTATTTTTTGATTGGATTTCTTACAGGTCTAACAAATTATTATAGCAGATCTTTTTGCTAAGCGTATCTATGATACAGTAAATATGATTGCGCCACTCGATGTAATCGTTGGTTGGGTTGTCGACTCGGATATATATATTTGCCAGTAGCCTTTTGGATGGTGCTAAACTCCAAGTTGCTTCGGCAATACCATGAGAAGATCTTGAGCCAACCACTGTACAATATACACAAGGATTCAAAGGATTTTTGACATATAATCTACAATCTACTAGTCCACACCAGCCACAATCAATATGGCTTGAACCGCTCCTTGTCACGTTTCTTCTCCTTTGGTTTTGAAGGCTTGGATGGAGTAGGTTCGGCCTGACTTTCACCCTCATCCATTGGCTTCCAGGCACGAACGAACCCATCCTCTCCTCCGGTGAATACGGAATGACTCTGCAAGAATGGTGAGACTGGGTCAATCTAGAAGCACGAATAGAAGTAACATACCTGCTCGTCGACGTAGATTGAGCGGACGACCTCCTCGCCGTGCGCGCCCGGAAGACGCCAGAGGTTGGCCTGGTCGAACCGCCACGGATCGGGGATGAGCGGGACAAGGTCCAGACGTTTATCACTGCGGGAGAAGCTGTCAGATATGACCGACAATAGAGATGATCAAGGAGATGTAGACGCACAGTTTATGTCCAGCAGCGATATACGCCGACTGGCTGCCGGTGCAGAGCTGGGCGATATACTCGCAGTTGAGAGGTTGCCTTAGATCACCGAATTGGATGGGCTTGGGCTCCTCGGCCTGCTCGTCGGGATCCGTGGCCGGGTGGACGGAGAAGTCCTCGTCATGGCTAAGGGCGAAGATGGTGCGCTCGCCAAGGAACCCGGCGTGGTGGACGGAGCCGTGGTTGATGACCTGCACCAGGGCGTCGTCTTCGTCGGTGATGGTGGTGTCGTAGATGTTGACCAGTCCGTCTGTGCTTCCGGACAGTAAGATGTTGTTACGCACGGGGTGGTATTGCAGCTGGTTCTCATCAGCGCGGAACGCGGCGCAGAGTGAGGGTAGGACGAATACGCACCTCGGTCACGTCGTCGTTGTGGCTCTCGACATACTGGAGCCGGGTTGCCCCCGGCGATCTAATATCCCTACGAGGCAGTTAGCAGCTTGCGTAGACACTGGATGTTATCAATTCAGCCATGAACTGACCAAAACGCAACAACAGCCTGTGAGGAGACCAGCTCCGTACCAGCAACGACAGTGTTGGTCTCCGCACAGGAAGCTACCGACAGCACAGGCGCATTCCTGGCTATCCCCGAGAAAGCAAACAGTTAGCACAAGTCCAGCTCAAGCCAGAAACCAACTCACCAGTCTCCATCTCAACAACAGCCGAGCTCTTTCCCCCTCTCAAATCCCACAGCTTCACCTTCCCATCCCGACCACCCGTAATTAGCAGCTGCTGATCCTGACCAGACCCATACCTCCTCAGCGACGTCACACCCCCATTCCCATGCGCTTTCGCCGCAATCACAGCTACATGGCCAAGACCGGCGGCATCAAAAACACGCAATGAGTCATCCGATGAAATAGCCGCCAACGAGCCAGGCGACGCAGGAATGATCGAGTAGATGTAATTCCCCGGGCCCAGATTGAGCGAGGATGATGCCGTGGCCTTGAGTGTGTGCATGTCGCTGTGGAATAAGACCGGCGGCAGGATGCCTTTCTACTTGTTGGCGATTATACAGGGTGCTGGTGATGATACTAGACCCGTGATAGATATACTCGTGTTCGACTTCTGGTCGAGATCAATCAACCGATCCGTTACCTCGCGGTGACTGACAGGTACTCTGTACTCCGTATCTATGGTTTGATTTCAAGTAGTGAGCCAAGCCAGGCTAGGGTTTTGCCTGGAGAGCGGCCCTTCGGATGTCTGTTATGCTGATTCTGTTGAGAGGTGGTGGCTGACAGAGGTTTGTATATCAAGCTGGTGGTGATGCTGCGGGCAGAAAATTTGATTTTCTCCATAGTTCTGATTTTTTCTACTTTCCCCGTACATTTTTACCACTCCATACATGTTCGCGTTTCGCTGAGCGCATCAAATTATCAGGAAACGACAATGCAACCAAGCATAATAATAATGTATTCAAGAGGATGCATCATTCAATTTATTTTTTTTTTTTCTCTTTCACCGAGCTTTGTTTTTTGGTTTCGCTTAGCTGGGCTGGATCCCAGGACGGGAAGCCAAGAATTGCTAGAATGTTGTTGTCTTTGTCTCGAAAATGCTCTCACTGTAACAATAAACAAGACAATTCCACCAGGTATCGTCAGGTTGTTAATCGGCCGGAAGTCTACGAAAGGCAGCTCCTAGTCCCATAACTGACTTCTCTCTTTCACCTTCCTTGCCTCGACTTCAGAGTCAAACCCATTTGAAGCGTCCTCAATGTAGCCTGGGTATGCAGTCGATCCCTTGTTGCATGGTAATAATGGCCCATAGGGTCATATACAAGTTCAGCGTAGGTACGCTAAGAATGTCAGCCTTAGGAAACTTCATGGCGCTGCCCTGCAGACGTGGACCTTTGACTTTTCAAGCGGGCCCCAGTTCCTTGAAGAAGTGGTGCCAGCCGTTGGACGGACGAGACCTGCTCCATCTCCTTCTCTTTTCCCTTTTCCCACAAATGACATCAAGCATGTGTGCAACGTGGAGTCGTTGGAACTCGGCGATGTGTATAGGGTAGTGGTCTCTTCAACAAGCACCCCTGCCTGCGGCCAGGATTGCCATCATTGCTGCTGGACGCAAGATCGACATCGTTTGCTTACCCTATGGTCTTTAGGTGACCTCCGGGAAAAGCTTCTCGGTTCTGCGACGGCGCACAAAAGGGGGAAAAAATGAAAATCAGAAGGAGACCTGACTGAATTGGCTATTTTCGAAAGAATTGTCGAAAGATCGACCCAGGCAACGGAATAGGATTGCGACTCTGTGTCACCGTCCGTTTGTGGCTTCCATGACGGGCTGTGTGACACGCTGGGCCCGGTCCCATTCGCGTGCTCAAAAGTGACACGCATGAGCTACTCAATGGCTGTATCCTGTCCACAATTTTGGTCCATAGTCTCTGCTGGTTAAGCCCAATCAATTCTTCTTACTGAATGCTGAGAGATTTGCCATTGGGATTGGTCGATCGCTGAGAGAGCTTAATCGGAGCGTCATACCTGGGTGGAGACATAGTGGGAAGCAAAGGCGAATCGAGTTGGCCCTTCACCTGGTCTGTCCAGGTCCCGTCGCCGAATGCATCTAGCTACATATGCACAGCCGCAAATGGAGCGTTTCAAGTTTCCCAGTACGTACAGACGACTTGGGCGGTCAGCACCGTCGCGTCGACCTGTGATTTTTTCTGTCGAGGAGATGTCCAGGAAGAGTTAGTTCCTTAATGGAGCGGTGGCATCCTTTCATGTAACCTTCCCGGTGCAAGGCAACTCGTTGCCGAGTTCTAGATGCACTCAGATGATTGGTCGTGGCGTTTGTGGCTCGAGCAAGCATCCTCCTTCTGCGAGGTGAAGACGGCTATCTTGTCTGTAGCTGGCCAGAAGAATTTAAACTTTGCGAGAGGATGTGTTCCATGCTGAGCGTCGATCTTAACACTGTTTTGATGCCGAATTCTTCTTTGGACCTTCTGGGACCTCGTTCAATGCAGCGGTCACTTACAGTGATGTCACGGAGTGAAAACTTGGAACAGCGGCACGCGTTGTGTACTATTTGACTAGCTGATAGGGGATCCAGATTTGCAAAAGGGGTCGAGGCTTTCAAACAATTTATTGTCCTCAAGATCCGCCGGCCTGTGGCGCTTCTAAGGGCATCTGTCCGGTGATCTGACTCTAGACCGGAAGATGTGGATGCCAGCGTGGGAGAGAATACAACTTGACGACCCCACAGGAGTCATGAGTAACCCTTGTGCTGCAGCAAAGGACTTTAGGGCTTTCATGACTCGTCTTGGGCTCCGCACATTGCTCGAGAGCAACGGCGCTTATTCTCGATCGATGATGCGTTACCGAACTTTCGTCGATGGCTACCTACAAGAAGATGCATGATGATTCTCGCTGTAAACGCCGTGCGGTTTGAAACATGAGCCGCGTAGATAGTAACCGGACTAGATGAGGAAGGAGTTGAGACTGGGTTAGATTGTTGTGGGTCGGCGAGCCGAGAGGACGAGAGACGAATGAAGAAACGCGCGGTAGATATTTCCGTTAATCAGTCTTGAATGGAGATCTGGAGTGTGACGGACACTAAATATCTACTAAGTTCAGTGGTGATCAGTCGAGATTGGTGAAAATACAAGCAGATTTAATTTAAGTGTGGATAGGGAGGTTTACTGTTATATAGTAACGTAGTTCCCTACTCCTACTGAGATAATCCCTCAGTAGCATGGACCTCTTGACTACTCAATGTGCTGATCTCCTGCTTGAAGGCACGGTAAGATACT